CAATGATTTTTTGGAAACGGCACCAAAAGAATAAGTAACAAAAACAAAAATCAATAAGTGGGACTACATCAAACTAGTAAGTTTCTACACAATAAAGGAAACAATCAACAAAAGGAAAAGGCAACCTACAATATGAGAAAAAATATTTGCAAACCATATATCTGAAAATGGATTAATATTCATAACACATAAAGAACTCATACAACTCAATACTAAAAAAGCAACAACTCAATTAAAAAATGGACAGAGGAACAGAACAGACATTTTTCCAAAAAGATATACAGGTACATGAGAAAATGCTAAACATCACTAATCATCAGGAAAATGAGAATCAAAACCACAGAGAGATATCACCCCATACCTGTTAGAATGGCTATCATCACAATGACAAGAGATAGTAAGTGTTGGGGTGAGGATATAAAGAGAAGGGAACCCTTGTACAGAGTTGGTGAGAATGTAAAATTGATATAGCCATTATGGAAGATTGTATTGAGATTCCTCAAAAAATTAAAAATTAAACAGTAATCCCACTTCTAGGTATATATCCAAAGGAAATTAAATCTATATCTCAAAGAGATATCTGCACTCCTATGTTTATTGAAGCATTATTCACAATAGGTAAGGTATGGAAACAATATAAATGTTCGCTTACAAATAAATGGACAAAGAAAATGTAGTATACAAATACAATGGAATATTTTTCAGCCTTAAAAAGGAAAAATATTCTGTGATTGGCAACAACATGGATGGAACTGGAGGACATTAGGCCGAGTGAGATAAGCCACACACAGAAAGACAAATAATGTATGATCTCACTTACATGAAGATTCTAAAATAGTCACACTCGTTGATTTTTATTTGGGAGAGAAAGTGGAGTGGTGATGGTCAAAGGGTGCAATGTTTCAGTTATACAAAAATAAGTTCTGGTGGTCTACCGTACAACATAATGCCTACAGCTAACAGCACTGTGTTGCATACAAAAAATTTGCTAAGAGAGTAGAACTTAAGTGTTCTTATCACAAAGAAATAATAATTAAAGGGTGGGGAGAAATTTTGGGAAGTGATGTATGTGTCTATGACCTTGATAGTGATAATAGTTTCACAGGTAAATACTTATCCCCAAACTCATCAGGTTGATAACTTAAATACGTACAGCTTTTTACACATCAATCATACCTCAATAAAGTGGTTTAAAAAATAAAAGAAACTTAGGAAATAATTAAAAGCCTTTTTCCCTCTTGTTTTCAATCAGAGGGTATCAGAAGGTTCTTGCCTACAAAATGCAAGTCCGAATTAAAAATCTCCTTGAAGCTCTGCCTCAGCAGACTATACCAGTTTGATAACTCCAATCCAAAGATTCAAGTTAGAATTCTGTCTTTTCACATTTCCTGTTTCCATGGTCAGTGATAAGGAACTCTTTTCCTCAGGCCATATTTTATGTAATTGTACATTTCTAGTTTTAATCTTTGTTGTTTCTTTCATCTTCATAATTCCTAACAATAACTAACAAGATGTTTATTTTCACCACTTTATCACCATCATATTTTACCATCACTTTTATTATAGATTAAATCATTTATTCTGATTCCACGACAAGTTCCATATGACCAATTCATAGAAAATTAATAACCGTGATGATTGCATTATGAGAACAAACACGCAAAGACCAAGGTCCAACTACTTATTCACTCTGTACTTTACTGGACAGAGACCACCTGACTTCCATATTCAGATTCAAGCCCATCCTGGTATCCAGGAACAATGCTTATCCAGACAGGTGAAATGTAAAGTGCTCTAACCCAGAATATAATGTTAGGTATATAACCGATGTTCTGGGTTAGAGCAATAAGATACTGCTGAATCATTTCTAAACTTGAATTACAATTGTGATACCTCATTCTGATTCAATCATTATGTTTTATAACACTCTGGAGATTGAAGCACAGTGTTTTTTTTATGTCAAAATATCTTTATATTTACCTGTCTTCAAATTCTTTTAATCATAGAGCTGTTAAAAATAATCCCTGGAGAAGTTCTCTAAGGAAAGACTTTATGAAGAAAGTAGAAAGGTTTGAGAAAATTAAATTATATAGAATGGAATGAGAACTATACCCTCTTTACGATGCCATTCAACCAAATTTAATGTTATATACCTATTACAAATCTATAAAACGCGATTGTACATTGACTCTCTTCCTCCCACAGACACTGGTGGAAATTCTTCATTGACTGTGGTAAAGGGATTATCTCTGCCCTGGACTGGTCTGGAATACTTTTTACGTGTTGCTCAATCCCTGATGGCATCTTCTGTGTGAGCCAATGTGTACTAGGAAGGCTGTTCCCATATACTTGGATTGTTATTCTCAATTTTTGCTTATGAATTGGTTTAATGTTCAGTTAAGTAGAAGTATAATCAAAGTTTTGTGACAATTTACTGTGAAATTTATCATAAATACATATATAAAGGTCTATAAAATATATATTTCAAATGTTTATTATAAAATGAACAGCTTATAATCACCATTCGCATCTATAAAACAATTACTGCCAGCACTTCAGAGCCCTCTATGTGCCCCTACTTGATGGTAGCTCTTTCCATTCTTCCATTCTCCGTCTTAACTCTATTGCATTCCATCTCTGGCTTTTCTTTATAGCGTTACACCCAAGCAGGGCCTCATGGTCATCTGTATCCAGCACAAAGACAATGTGGAAAGGACACACTATGGCCTGGGAATGGTGGCCACAGATCTCAGTCACATCTTACTGCAAGAATGACTGGGAAATGTGGGCTCTGGAAGAGGAGGTGAACAGCTAGCAATCTCTGCCTGAATCGGCTAATCACATTGGTGCCTACCAAGATCATTGGTGTGAAGATTCAATAGGATCTTAAATATAAGAGCTTACTGCTGACTCTGACACTTAGCAAACACTACTAACAATAATGATTACTATAGACTGCACTTATATGTTTCCATTGACTGTTAGGGCAGTATGAAGTAAGAATATAACCACTAATATATCTAGCTATTCTAAATTAGGCAATGGCTGTCAATAAAATGTGAAAGGTACTTTATAGCCATTCTTCTTCTTTGAGTATTTTGCTTTATTTGTGTCAGAAGAATTTTTATTCACTGAAACAATTGCTCATGTTTCACTGATTTTTAAAATTATGGTAAATTTTGTTTAATTTTTAAAAACCTCATAGATTTAGAATCAAAACACCCTAGTCCTAGTCTCAGCTCTACCACTTATAAATTGTGATTTAGAACAAGCCATAAACATCTCTGTGCATTAGTTTCATCATCTATGAAATGGGAACTAGGATCCCCTTCCCCATTTACTTTGCAGTTCGTCCCTGAGGAGAGCATAGACGGACCGAGGTGACAGTGCAGAGAAAACTGCAACACGACTTCTAAGAGCCATCATAACACCCTGTACATTCTCTATATTAATATTTGAAGTGGGTCTATTCAACTTTATGCCAGAGAGAGACTTTACTCAGTCCAGATGCTTTCTCCAGCCCTCCTGCTCACTGAAGAATACGGGAATCTCTGTCTCAGAATTTAAATCTTCCGACACTTAGTGAGATTTTAGTGTTTAAAGGTGCATATTTTTAACAAAAAAAAAGCCCTGCTTATAAACCAAGTACTTCATCTGATGCTCAGCTGAAAATATAGTGAAATGTCCCAATGCTAGAAAGAAAAACCGACTGTGCCAGACTTATGGAAAAATACCATGTCTATCCCCAATATGGACATTAACTCACCATAATCAATTTTCAGTAATAGTTTTGAGGATATAAGACTGTTTTAGATTCTATACATGTGTAGCATGTAATTCTGCTGTGTTGTAATGTTAAAATATACCTTTATATCTTTCTCTTAGTGTGCCTTATTTATGTTTGTGACATGCAGCACATTGTACACATTGCCAGACACTTAGCAGCTATCAAATGTGTGTTTTTTTTGTTGTTTTTACGTAATTAAATAGATAAATGAATCAATAACCATTTCTTCTTACTGGACTCAACAAGTACTTCCTGCTCAGCCCTGCCTCTCTGGAGCTGGAACTTGGAACCATGTACCTGAATGTGCTTGCAAAGATTAAAAGTCAGTCCCGTGCCATGCAGTCAGTGTTAGGCAGTGATCTCATAAAATACAAGACTTGAAGTCACAGTGTGTGTATACGTTTGTGTGTGTGTGTGTGTGTGTGCGTGTGCACGCGCAGGGATGGAGTGCAAAGAGGACTGGAGGATGGGGTTCAATAAAGGTGAGGTGTTCGGGAATTAAAAGGATATAGAACTCAAAATTTCTTTTACTTCTAGTCTTCTTCAGCTCTTAACCACAGTGCACCCTGATCATGCTCATTCCAAACCTGATCCTGAGCAAAACAGCAGCTTGCTCAGAGAAAGTTTGCATTAAAGAAATTCAGCATGTAGTCAAGACATTTTCTTTATGCTTTAACTAAGGGGACCGTTTTCTGTTACTGTCCAGAATATCTAAGTTTTCACACTGAACTAGAAAAATGCCCTTCCTAGTACACAGGCACAGACATATTCAATGGCTTACCTGTTTGACTCTCAGCTATGACAACTTCAACAGAATTACACTTTCCCTCGTAACTCCTTTTATCGCATTTCATATAAGAAACAGAACAAAAAACTACAAACAACAACTCTATGCTGTGCATGTAAAACACCAGACTTATTTCCTCTGACATATCCCTCTTGTTTGAAAGAAGTCTAAATAACTACATAGACCTTAAATGCACTAAAAAAAAAACTAAATAGCCTCTATTAAAACTTCACCACCCTTAACTTTTACAATCTGCCTAGACATCTGTTTTTCTGATTAACATTTTCCAAAATATGCTAAAAGAACGTAACAATTTTAAAGAAGGAACATTTTTTTCTGAAGTTGAAACATTTCATTTGTATTTTGAGTCACATCAAGGAATCTCCTTGTCCTCTGACTACCTGCACAGAGAGACACTGATTCTAATCAAAATTTTCTACTCCTCAGGGTTTTTCTCAGAGTAATTTTAACATCTTTGTTTCTCAAACTGTAGACTAAGGGGTTCATCATAGGAACCACATTAGTATAAAAGACAGAAGAGATTTTTCCCTCATCCATAGACACAGCAGAAGATGGTTTGAGATACATAATTGCCCCTGATCCAAAGAACAGAGAAACAGCAATTATGTGGGAACCACAGGTGCTGAAGGCTTTGGACCTGCCCCCCATGGAGCTGATGTGGATGATGCTCGAGAGGATGAAACTGTAAGAGACAAATATGGTGAGACTGGGCACAATGATGTTGATGCCCACCACAACGAATATTACCAGCTCATTGATGTAGGTGCTCGTGCAGGAGAGCTGGAGCACAGGGAGGATGTCACACAAGTAATGGTTGATGGTGTTTGCATCACAGAAGGTCAGTCTCAGCATGCATCCGGCGTGGGCCGTGGCACCAGAAAATGCCATCAAGTATGAACCAAGCATAAGGCCAGAGCATACTTTAGGGGACATGGCAACATTATACAAAAGTGGGTTACAGATGGCCACATAGCGATCATAGGCCATTGATGTCAGCACATAGCATTCAGAAATGACAAAAAAACAGAAAAAGTAGAGGTGAGTCATGCATCCCACGTAAGAGATAATATTCTTTTTTGATAAGAAATTTGTCAGCATTTTTGGTGTAAATACTGAAGAATAGCAGAGGTCTATGAAAGACAAATTAAAGAGGAAAATGTACATGGGGGTGTGTAGGTGTGAATTCAGCCCAATTAGAGTAATCAAGCCCAAATTTCCCAACACAGTGACCATATACATTACTGAAAACAGGAAGAATAGGGGGAGTTGGAGATCTGGTCGGTCTGTTAACCCCACCAGAATGAATTCGGTCACCAAGGAACCATTTCCAGGAGTCATTCTTCTCTAAGGGAAGCTGTGAACACAGGAGAAAAGGGCTACGTTAGAGAACAATTCAGCTCTTCCTGCAATATCTCCTCCTATAAAAAAGTGTATACACTGGGAATGCCTGAGACTAGCCCAACCTGGACCCATGGAACCTGCCTTTACCATTATCATGATACTGATATATGTGAACTTTCCCTTACTAGAGTATTAATAAGCTAAACATAACAAAGAGCATCCCAAACAGCCTACAAAAAGAAGGCCACTGCTGCCATGTGCAATCATAACTGCTGGGAAAACAAAGAGAGAAGAAGGATGTTCCAGGGCAGAACCATCCTTCTCTCATCTCACTCACTTAAGCACTCCCCTCACCAGTAAAATTGGAAGCAGCCACTCTAGCAACGTGGTGATGGCCTTTAATGCAGGTTCAACTTGGTGGACTGGGAATCAAGAAGATGGTTTCTAATCAAAAACTAAGGGGCCAAATTCTAGGAGAGGGTGACTGCCCATGTCACAGAGTAAAAGTTATAAATCTAGAAGAGTGAGAGCTCCATCCACGGAGAGGGAAGGTACTGACTGAGATACTGCACTTTCTGAGCCTCCTAATCTATAAATATTCTCTGATCTCCATTGACCACATTCTCTTGGCAGCTTCACTTGAATCTCAGGACTACACAAAATGGGAAAGAAAGTGGCAGATCTTATATCCCTGAACTTCCATCTCAAAACAAGAAGGACATTAATATAATCGGAATTCAGAAACTCACCCTCCTTAGGGCAGAAAACTTTAAGGCTCTGGTATCCTTGGTATTTTCCCCTGTTGTCCTGGAAAGGCAAATTCAGGTTCTGAGGCTTTGTGTCCTTTAATTCTAAAAGGAGGCAGCCCAGACTTACTTTCAGATATACCTTGGAAATCTTTCTGAACTACAAATCAAAATTTCTGATTATGACTTTAAGCCATCTCGAGCCACAGAGAAAGATAAACAGTCTTTATTATTATCACATTTTCCACTTGATAAGACACTGAACATTGAATTTGAGTTTATTAATATAGTGCACTTGATCATAAATAGGGTAGAAGCTTGCTCATTCTCTTCGCCAGGGAATAGATTCTATGTGTAAAAGAGAAATAAGGGAATTATATTTTCACTCTGGACCATGATCTCTCTTTAGTTCTTTAGGGACTCCATATATTAAGCAAGTTTACACTTCACTCTAGGGATTTACATCCCCTAAGGCAGAGGCAAAAATAAATTCTCATCTTCCTATCATCTTCATCTCTTAAAGAAGATGTATGTATAGGTTCTTTTACTGTTTCTTCCCATGTCCTAAATGGAAATTTTCCACAGAGTCTGCCTACAGCCTTCTTCATTTCTTTACATGAAATTTTTCAAAAGTTGTAGTAACTCAATTCAATTGTTATCTCTCCTGTGTTATCTCAAAAAATATATTACTACCTTTTTCTCTTCTCAAGTTTTCACTTCTTACCATCTACTGGTAATTTCTACCTAAGGAGCCTGCTGGGTCTTTAAATGTAATATTTCATTAACTAAGGTCATTAATTCCTTCTCATCCTAGAAAAAAGTTGAGGCTATGGAGTTACAGGGCACGTATTGACTCCTACTCCCATGTTTACTAATTTGGACATGTTAAACTCTCTAAACCTCAGGATCATAATTTTTGAAATAGTGATGATAATAATAGCATCTCTTTCACTGAGTTATTTTGAAGATTAAATGAAAAAGATGTATGTAAAATGGTTGGAACAGTTCCTGGCACCTGGTAAATAGTCAATCAATGCCAGCTGAGATTATTTCTGTTCTCAACACTTTCAGTAGATCCTTTGTCATAACACTCATCAGACATTTTTTTCCCTTTAATTCCTGTTTCCCCATAAACTATAAGTTCTATAAGGACAAACATCCCTTCCGTCTTGTTTACTACTTTTCTCGTGGTGCCATGTATGGTGCAGAGTACATAGTAGGCACTCCATAAATAATTCTCTACATTACTTTGTTCTCTGGTGAAAACCTTCAGACTGTTTTCCACATTTCTCACATGCTAAGCATTAGAATCTACAACCACACTGACTCCCATTCATTTCCCTCAGCCACCACTCACGTTCAGATACTTTTTAGATTTTAATTGAACTGTACTGCTGAATTTAGTAGCTCCAACTATTATTCTGGCTTTTCCCCACATATTCCCTTTTATTTGGTCATATACACTGCTTGCTAGAATAAGTTCTGAAAGCACAGATCTGTTCCTTCCTCTTTCAAGCACTTTCAGTGGTTCTCAATAACCCACGAGACAATTGAAACATTGTAACAAAAGTATAAGTATCAAAATAATGATTAAGTTTTGGAAAAATTTAAAGAAGAAATCAAGCGAGAGTTAAGTTTGTTAAAAAACTGTGAGAGTGCAAATATGATTGATTTAAGCTTTTTGAGTGTATTAAGTATTGTGCAAACTCTTACCCTGCTCAACAAATATAAAAAAGAGAATGTAGGAGAATGTTTACATTTCAGAGACCATGAGAGTATCACGAACAAAAGGCACTAGCCAAGTGAATCAAAGAATATATTTAGAATTTAAGTTTAAATTTGGACATACTCTCCCTTCTATCATCACGTTACCTGTTTTCTTTTCAATGTTTGCTGAAAGGTTGCAAGACTATCTCTCAAAATCTGTTAAAATAACATATTTTGTATTTAATGTTTCAGGAATGTAACTTTTAACCCAAGTTATCAATTAGAAAGTTTCTTACTTTAAGTTACAGAATTCTCAGTTAAAAACTCATACAAAATAGGCACTTATTTTTCTCATGTAATAATAAATCTGGAGGTACAGTGTCCTAAGGTTGGGTCAGCAACTAAACACTCCAAAGACCCAGATACTTTCATTTCATTGTCCTCAGATAGTTGTCCTTACTCCTCAAGCTGTTCACATCATGGTCACAAACAGACTGCCACAGCTCCAGGAATTACATCTAAGGACAGCTATATCCAAAGAAGAAAGCAAGAGAACAAGGCAAAAAAACTCCCCTCAAATCTCTCTCTCTTTATATCATGAAGTAAATCTTGTCTGAAAGCCAATAGATGACTTCCCTTTAGTCTGGACTTTGCCTCCTGGCCAGTCTAGCTGCCAGGAGTACTGACTGACAGCCATCTTCCATTTTCAGGCACCATTATGGAAGGAAGTTCTTGGAATTAGAAGGAAGGAGAGGAACATTTGCTGTGTAAGACATCAACACTGCTTGCTACAATCAAAAAGCTTGTGAAAAATGTTTTTAGTAAGAAATTGTTCAATTTAGGCATAGATATATTTCTTATTTTCAAGTGAATTTACTCTCTTAAGCTTTAAAGCAACTCAATTGCCTTACCACATTTGAAACATATAAAATATATGTATATGAAAAAATACATATATAAGTAAATATTTACATGCACACTGCTTATATGAAGTGGAGAGAAAAGGACATCATGCTATACCTAATAGAGAGGGTTCCTTCACTAGTCAAAAAGTATCAGACTCTCCAAATGTTAAAACTGTTCAAAATAACGAGTGCCAGGGATGCCCTGGTGGTGTGGTGGTGAAGTTCACACACTCCGCTTTGGCATCCTTGGGTTCGTGGGTTCAGATCCCAGATGCAGACCTATGCCACTCATCAAGCCATGCTGTGGCAGCAACCCTTATACAAAAAATCGAAGAAGATTGGCACAGATTTAGCTCAGGGACAATCTTCCTCGAGCAAAAAGGAAGATTGGCAACAGATGTTAGCTCAGGGCCAATCTTTCTCACAAAAAAATAAAAATAAAAAAATAACAAGTGCCTTCAAAGGATATCACTGAGAAAGTAATAAAACAACCCAAAGAATGAAAGAGATATGTACAAATCATATATTTGATAAGGATCAAGTATCTATAATGCATAAACCACTCTTCAGTTCAATAATGAAAAGATAAATAATCCAATTTTAAATGGGCAAGTTGTTCAAATAGACATTTCTGCAAATAATACATACAAATGGCCGATAATCACATTAAAAGATGTTAAATATCATTAGTAAGCAGGGAAATGCATTTAAAAACCACAGCAAAATATTACCTCACACACACTAGGATGACTACAATAAAAAAGACACATAGTACTAGGTGTTGATGAGGATGTGAAGAAATCAGAATCTTGTACACTGCTGGCTAGAATGTCAAGTGGTGGAGCATTTGGGAAATCAACCTGGCAGCTCCCCCAGAAAGTAAAAACAGAATCGTCATATGACCTAGCAATATTTCATAGATATATGCATAAGAAAACATACATCCACACAAGAACTTGTATATGACTGTTCATAGCACCATTATTCCTAAAGCAAAAAAGTAGAAAAATCTAAATGTTCATCAACTGATGAATGGGTAAACAAATGTATATAGCCATAGAATGGAATATTATTCAACAAGGAAAAAAGAATGAACTACCTTTACAAGTTACAACATGGATGCACTTGAAAACATTATGTAAAGTGAGAAAAGCCACTTTAGGTGAATCACAAGAGACCACATATTATCTTATTACATTATATGAAATATCCAGAACATTCAAATCTATAGAGACATGAAGTATATTGGTGGTTGCATAGGGCTGAGGCTGAGGCAGTTGAGGGGTGATGGACAAAAGGTATGAGATTCTTTGGGGAATGATAAAAATGTTCTAAAATTGATTGTGATTATGGTTGTATAGCTCTGTGAATAAAGTAAAATCATTGAATTTTACGCTTTAAATGTGTGAATTGTATAGTATATAGATAATAATGAGAAAGTTACCAGAAAAATAATGGTAAAACTCTAAAAAAAGAAGATGAAATAAAAGAGAAATCAGAAAACATTTTGAAGTGAATGAAAATATAAACATAACATATCAAAATACATGTGATATAAATATAGTGCTTACAAGGCAATTTATAAGACTTTAAGAAAATGTTTTTAGGTAATTTAAACCTAAAGAAAACTGAAGACCAA